GTGTGATTAAAACGCTTAAAGTCGCTCAGCTAAAGTTGAAATCAAGGCACCAATACAAAGTGCAATTTCGATTTGTATCGATATTCGCAAAACAGGTGTAATTATCGATAAATAACGGCAACTTAATATTCGAAGTCTCTTGCTCTTCTTATAATCCCAAACGAAGATCGACCTGTCGGTTGATGCTGATATTGATGAAGAATATATATACGTAATGGGGTCGGAGATGCCTTATTATTCAGCCTCTTACAACAACTTGCGCACAAATTAATTTGGAGCATTTTGAATGGGTTCTGGCTACAACTATTCTCGAGTGACGTAGAGCGGGGGCAGGGAGAGAGACTTTATTGCAGCAATGTCTCATTGTGATTTGAGCCCGTGGAGCATGGAAGTCTGTTTGGCTTCAGCGCAAACTCCTTGCCACGCCCACATCCTTAAGTCATCAAGTGTAGCTGAATTTTGTTTTGGTGCCAGACGTCCTTCCCCACACTTATGGCCATTGTTTGGTTTTATATTGGAACCATTTTTGCGACTCTCCTAATGGTATTTTGTGAAAATTAATTTCTTAGCTATTAGAGACGCTCGCTCTGGCTACAAGGCAACCAACCCCAAGCCACAAACACCTACCAGCGACTGCTCTCCCTTCGCAGTGTGTGTTTGTTCTTTGTGTGTGTTCTTTGTGTGTGTTCTTTGTGTGTGTGTGTGTGTATTTTCTATTTTGTATTTTGTAATTACTTTATGCCCGAAAATTGCCATAGTAAAATATTTTGTTGTTTTGTTGATGGCTTGGGTTGTGCACCACCTCGCAACAAACCAGCCAACCGCTCCCGTTATTGGTATTCCTTCAACAGCGAGCCTGCTTTGAGGTCATGCCTCCGAGGGCGGATGTTGGACTCTGCGTGCGTATTGTTACTGCTGCGTTTGAAGCTGCTGCTACTGGGACTGATGCGATTGCTGTGCATTGTAATCAATGGTCACCAATCAAATCGAACGAGTTGGCGAATTCTTCGACTAAAACGGAACCGGCCAACTTTGAACCAACGTGAACCGGAAACTCAAAGTGTCAAAAAAGAAAGAGTCCAATTGCCACTTGCCACTTGCCACATGCCCATTGCCTCCTTCCACTTTGATGGCAACCAAAAATGCGCCCAACCGAAATCAGCAACAGGGCGCAGAGCTTACGCATTGCAAATGATGTGATTGATTTTTGTAAACAGCGAGAAAGGAAGAGCTCCATTCGCAGTTCACATTCACATACATACTGTGGCAGGGCACTTCTTTACTCAAACACACGACGGCTCAGTTCGGTATCCACAGAAAGAATGAGCTTATAGCACATACAGCAAACAGTTGTTATCGATATCCAGCGATTATCTGAGATGCGAGACACAACCGTGTACGAGTTATTTATATATTGGATGATTGTATTTGCTTAATGTCATCAGCACTCTGCATACTACAATATATATTTAAATGCCAGGGAAAGTTTACATTTCAATTTGCAAGTCGTCCCGCATGCATTTCAAAAACTATCTGAAGCAATCTGTACAATCTGGCACTTGCCACTGCGAATTTCAATGTCCATGTGAATCTTATTTATGCTACATTCATTTACAGTAACTTCTGCAATTATCTTTTATTTGAAGGACGAGATGATCGCCTCTTGCACTCACAACTTACATAGGTATCTCTTAAGCCATTAACTCTTCAACAGAGCAACGCATCTTTTTTTGGGGTACCCTTAAATGCTCCAGCTGAGAGATGGTTAAGATAAATATTATACATTTGGCATGTACCCATTTTCGTTTAGACCAGTTGGTACTTTACTTGTATTTAAGATGTACATAAATAAATAGCTCAATTCTGTTTTCAAAGAGTATATTCCCAAGAGCGGAAATGACAAATCAAAATATACTTTCATATTTTTCTCGTTTCTCGTTAAGCTAATAAGAGCCGAGAGTAGAAATTGTACCCTTTTTTTATTTACTTTATTAAATTTGTACTGGATGAGAAAAGCATGAGTCAGCAATCCAAACGGAAAACAATCCCATTTCTAACCTTTTGTCAGGCCAAATTTCTCATCAAATATTCGGCTTTGGTCTGCATGTCATGTGGCTGCTATGACATGTTCGAAGGTTAACAGTTGCCACAATAACCAACGAAACACATGCCACATTCACAACAAAAACAACAACCATTCAAGAAATGCTCCACAAAAAAGAAAAAAAAAAAAACATATTTTAAATAATTTTACTGTCAAATACTTGAAAATTCTACTCATAATTGGCAGTTTTTGCAGCATGGCCTGTGGCCCATTTCAAATCTTTAGCAGTTGATAGGTCCAAGCAATTCAAGTGCCGAGCAAAGAGGAGGGAGGCAGTGCAAATGGGGGGGTGGCAAGCATCATCCTGACAACATGTGCGCCCTGTTAGTTAGTTATAACCACATACAGTTTTATGCAGACCATATTGTAAATGTTATAATTTTCACCAACAATTTTGCCAAGTGCTTGCTGTGGGTGCAAATTCATAAGCAACAGGATGACGAGGGGCTGGACACACTGGACACACTGGACACACTGGACACTGGATGCTGGTGGCTGGTTGCTGGTCGCTGGCTGCTGACCATAGGGCAGTCGACCTGGCTATGTTGACCTTTCCGCTTGGGTATTCAGTGCGGGTGCGGATGCCGCTTTAGCATGGATAGTAATCATTTTTAGTAACTTTTTTGTAGCGAGTGGATAGAACAAACCCCTCCCATCCCCCATCTATCTATCTCTCTCTCTCTCTGTCTGTCTCTCTCTTTTCCTGTATTTTTCATCCGTATCCCTTACGCTGTAGTCTACTTGGTCTTGGTGTGTCATATGTGCACTTAAACGTGCTTTGGGTTTTCAAATTTTATTTTATTAAGGGTGCAGCCAAAAGCATTCGCTGTACATACGTGAGTAAGTAATTGTATGTGTGTTTGTATTTATTTAATTTCGTATACCCTGTAAGTTAATGGTGTGTAGAGTGAGTTAACAGTCAACTGCCATTCGTTGCCTTCTCAAAGTATTGTATTGTTCTCAAATTCACAAATTGATTTAAAAGATCATATTTTGAAGATCACATCGGATTAATAAATATATATTTGTGTGAATTGCAGCAACTGTTATAATTGAAGCTGTGTGGCACTAAAGCTAGTAAGCTTTAAGTTCGGATTGTCTGCGTGGCATTTTATAGTCAGAGCGTTGATCCCTTGCCTGTTTATCCTCAGATATTTTATTCCGGCTTTTTATCTTTAAAATAATAAACTTTAATACATGCCTGCCACACATAGTCGCCGTACACACACTCTCGCTCCACACACGCATACTGGCATACTTATTTACACACATTTATATATGTACACGCACATTTTACTCAATTATAAAAGTTTCCACATTAAAAGTTCATTGCTAAGGCAGCCGAAGCGAGAGATGCCGCTGCGGGTCCAAGAATCTTTTGGGTGGGATTGCCCTGTTGGGTTAGGTCGTGCCTGCCAGCTAATGGGCCCCCCCCTTTGCCTGCTGGTTGGTTGGCTTGCTGGCTGACTACAGGGCCGACAACATCAAAGCCGCCATAGTCAAAGTAAAACGTCTGGCCGTAAAAGTTGTTGCTGTTGCTGTTTTTGTTGTTGTTGGTGTTGTTTTTAGTGGCCGACACAGGAAAAATTAAAAATATTGTATTTGTTGGTATACCAAAAGCAGCTACAGTTTACAACTTACAGCTTACAGCGAGCAGTTGTTACAGCTTCAAGTAGCGGAGTGCGCCACTTCATATGCCATGAGAGAAGTGCAAATTATGCTATACTTATAATAACATACAACTAACAACATTTTACAACTGTTAAACTGTTATACTGCCGTATAGCTAATATGCCGGCTAATATGATTTTGTATAGTGTATATTATCTAAAGGAAACCGGTGCAATTTGTGTCTGCCGAAATATTGTGTTCATGTTTTACTCAAACGCAGATGTTTATTTGACAACCTAATTAAAGATTTGCACAAAAAGTGCTTAGGGGCAATCAGTTGTATAAAGTGTTATACACCTAGTGAAATATATAATTTGGCACTATTAAATGTGTGCCTAAAAGAAAGAAAGAACAAAATTCTGTTATACACTGGCAATATCCTTAGCCCATTTCAAATGCGTTTCTGTGTGGTAAATGATCCCCCAAGGCATAATTTCACGCACATCTCTTCATCTCCCTCTTTGCATCCTAATCAATAACTGACAAGAGCCTCACCGAGCTCCTTGCGCCATGGAGCATTGGTTCAGCAGATTAAACACTGGCATTAAATCGGCAAAGCCCTTCCATGTCTGTAGTAAATTCTACGCTCAGCTTAATTTCAAACTTTGCAGAATGAACTGTTTGCCGAGAAATAACTTCAACCTAGGCAAAACAATCTTCAAGTGTTCCATTCAATTCAATTATGTCGACATTATAATATGTATTATTTTATTTGAATATTCTATGGGATGGCTAGATACGTTTGTGCCTAAGGATGTTACAGGTCGCTCGATTGTGCTTCATGCGTTTGTTTTCCACTACCACTGTTCGATGGTCCTCAGATATCGATACTCTGCTGTCCATTCCAGTCCCTAATTGCTTAGAAAAGATCCACTGCAATTTGCGTAACTCAAATGTTGTGTAAAATGTACATTTGTCCAAATATTATTATGCATATATATCAGAATTTCAGACAGGTTGCAGATAATAGACTATTTAGACTACATAATTATATTGGCTGCGGAATTGGGTTGCTCGCTGAGGTTAAATAAATTGAAAAAGTATTTAAATTTTAAACCAGATTCATCAGTTACATATGTGACAGATATACATATATTTATGTGTAAACATATTGCAATGATTAGCCACCAAACCATTTATGCTAACACCTGCATTTCTCTATTCTGTCGTACTAATTAAATTCACACACACACACACACACACATTATTTTAATTATCATTACAGGTTATGGCGGCGTGTCGCCACGCACACAATGGGGGCGGGTGGCAGCCCTGGTTTACGCCCTGTTTGGCATTCCGATTGTGCTGCTCTATTTGTCCGCCATGGGCGAGGCGCTGTCCGCTGGAATGCGCTGCCTGTTTCGGCGCCAGCGTGTCAAGGGCAGCGTTGCGAGCGGACCCACAACCGGATCGAGCGGCAGCCGCAAATCGGACAAGGCCAAGGGGCAGCAGTACAATCAGCATTCGGCTGCCAAGCTGCATCAGTATGGGCTCCCGCCCTCGGTTTATCAGCAACAGCAGCAGCAGCAGCAGCAACAACAACAGCAACAACAGCAACAGCAGCAGCAGCAGCAGCAACAGCAGCAAAAGAAGACCAAAAAGTCGTCACCCAGTGTACCCATCTCGATTTGTGTGTGCGTCCTCGTCTGCTATGTGACCAGCGGTGCAATACTCTTCCACAAGCTGCAGAACTGGAGCGTGCTGGAGTCGCTGTACTTCTGTTTCACGTCGCTGGGCACCATTGGCTTTGGCGAGCTGTCGCCCAGCGGCGCAGTTGCATTGTATTCGGCCTCCGCTTACATCATGGTCGGCATGGCCGTGGTGGCCATGTGCTTCAATCTAATCCAGACGGAGATTGTTATGTGGCTGCGTCGCTTCAGCGTTCAGGATCACGTCACGCCCAAGTCCGAGGAAGTGGCCCTCGTCACGGTGGCTGTGACGCCCAAGCCCTCCTGACAACGACCCAGCGCCGATATGTTGGGCGGCGGAACCACTGCTGCAACAATTGGCCCGGGTGTCCAGTCGGGCAATAGTCTCGGCCAGCATCAGACCATGTTCTTTGGACCGGCTCACACTCTAACCCAGTACAGTTCGCTGCCGCGTCGCAGTCACATGCATGGATCAGTTGGCGGCGGTGCAGTTGGAGGTGGAGGCGGAGGTGGCCCCTTGGCTTCTGCCTTTCAGCGGAATACGCCCATACGCCGCTCCACGGGCATACCGGAGCACCATATGGAGTACTTTGTGCCGCGCAGCATTAGCGAATTCAATTTGTCCGGCGTCGGTGATTTGGCGCTGCCACCGCCGCGCCGCTTCTCGCCCAATATGGGCGGCATGGGCATGCCCATGGGCATGAACATGGGCGTCAACATGGGCATGGGCATGGGCATGGGAATGCCGCATGGCCTCCAATTGGGCCCGCCCCAGACGCTGATCTGTGCTGCAACACCGACAGCGCCGCCGCCTGCCCAGCTCCAAATCGTGACACTGAAGCCACGCAGTGAGAAAATGGTCACCTTCGAGGATGAGTCCAAGTCAGCATCGGCGGCAGCAGCAGCAGCTGCAGCTGCAGCAGTATCAACACATTGTCCACATGGTGTTCCGACTACGCCACGCAAATCGAGCGGTGGCCCCTCAGCGGACATCTTTATGTGACCAGCCACCAGCTGACCAGCAGCTGGATCAGCGGATCAGCCACGGGACGAGGATGCTGACCTAAATGCAGCGCTCCGACTGCGCGACAGCATTGACGATGCACTATGCCCCAAGCCGGCTCCAGGCGAGATAATACGCGTCTAAATATTGGTTGCATGTGTGGCAGTTGCAAGTTGCAAGTTGCCAATTGCCAATTGCCAATTGCCAATTGGAATTTGAGTGCAACGAACACTGTAAGTATATGCACACACTTACACACACACATACAGACACACACACACACACACACACACATACAGAAAGATACACACACAGCCACATGCATGCAGACATACATAGGCAGATGAGTAGTATTCATATGAGGAGGGTGTTGGCAATAAACTTCCAGCTTTGGCATGCTAATTAGGTGAACAACAATTACAGTAAAAACTAAATTAACATTAACATTAACATTAACAACACCAACAACAACAACAACAACAACAGCGAAAGCTACAAAAATTGCATCACACAATTGAATGGTGTTATGAAAATGATTTAATTTAAGTAAATACCTTTCAGAATAATATGCGTGTCAACAGGAAAAAAAGAAAGAAATAAATAAAAGTGAAACAAATGACGCCTGCTGTAAATATATATAGACAAAATAACCATATACAAATAAAAGCATACATACAAATATACACACATATGTATTCAATGTATCTGTGTGGCAAAAAAAAAAATTTAAAAAAAAAATGGAAAATGGAAAATTAAAGAAAGAAAAATAAACAACAACAACGCGCAATGAAAGGAAACATTTAAAATTTAAATGCAAAATGCAAAATGCAAAATGTGAATCGCACAAATAATTTAAATGAGCTGGTCGCGCTAATGCCAAAAGTGAAAACAGAAATTAATAAATATGTACGAAACACTACTAACGATGAATAATAAATAACTGCAAAAGCGAGTGATGGTCGTGGAGGGTTGGTAATGGTGATGCAAGTGCAAGGCAAATGCAACATGCAACATGCAAAATGCAACACACAAATTGCAAATTGCAAATGAAAAATGAAAAATGACAAATTGTACGTTGCTAAAACGGACAAAGTTTATTTAAGCGATTTGTTAGTTAGCTAGTTTGTTTTGCTCTTTATTGTTTTTTTTTTTCCTTTAGTGTCTCTCTCTCTCTCTCTCTCTGACCCACGGACAGGTGCAATTTTGATGAATTCGGGAATTTTAATTTAATTGTGGTTTGTTGTTAAGCGCTCGTTTAAAATACACAGCCAGCATAAATATGTTTCAATTATCCGCGAATTTAGCGCAATTGATTTAACAATAGATCTTTACTGCACATGTTTTAGTCGAAAAACGGATATATTTAGTAAGAAAGTCTTTAAAAGCTTTAATAGAATGAATGAACAAAGCATAAACTAGCTATACAAATGTTATGTAATCCAACTGTCCGTATTTTAAACTGAAATTTATGGGTTTTTGTACAAAAAGAAAACAAATTGTCCTAATTAACCAAATTGACCAAATCGCAGCTAATTTTAAGCTAAGCCGATTACAAATCGAAACTGCAAGTCCCATCAATAACCATAATGGACGAATTGTACATTCGAATTAAAAATCATTTGAGCGCTTTTAGCTGTCCATTTCGATCGGTTTTTTTTTTTATATAAATGATTCCGTTTTTCATTGTAATTTGTTTTACGCTGTTGTTGTTGCTGCAGCAAATTAGGTTTAAACGCTCCTTAAATGCATTTTTATTGTTGGCAATTGTGTGGCCCAAATGCCGTTTTTTATTTGGATTGGTATTTGAATGCTGCCAATTCGCTTTACACCCGATCGCCACATAACTCAATGCTGTCAACTAAATGAGTCATTTGATTTTTCTCTTTAATTGAAAATAAATTAAAATTGAATGCTCGAGTGTGTATGTGTGTGTGTGTGTGTGTGTGTGTAAGTGTGTGTGTGTGCGAATGTATATGTGTACTAATTCTTTGCCATATTTAATTGTGGCATTAAATTTAAATAATCAAATAAATGCAAAAAGGGATACGAGTCGAAACATAAAAATACGCTTTAAATTTATGGGTTGTGGCACAAAATGAAGAGCAAACTAAACTAAAACAAAAACAAAACAAAAAAGATAATAAAAAAAGAAATAAATCAGACATAACAAGTAAACCAGAATTAAACCAAATAGAGAATCAAGTAAAAAGGCAAAAATATAATATTGCAATTGTGTCATACTGTCATACTCACTTACATTCCTACTAACAAACAATGGAAACTGACAGCAAAAACAATTATTTAACGTAAGTTCATGTAATTACAATTAAGCCCCACTTAAAAAACACACACACATTCTTTAATAATACTATATCAACAAGCAAAGGCAGAATAAAACCAAAAATCAAAATGAAATCTAACAAATAAATGAGAAGAAATACACTAAATAGTATTAAACAAAATCAAACTAAATATTGAAAAACATATTTTTTTTTTTTATTCCTAGCATGGTAAGTTTAACATTAAAATTTAGGTCAACAGCGTCAACTAAATATAGTGTATGAAACGACTTTCAGTCAACATATACGAATAAATGTTAATAAACTGCAGTTAAGCACATCTATGTAAAACATACGTAATACGTTACGCGATATTCAGAACATATACGATATATAGAAATCGATCTATTTGTGTATGTCCAACGTTCTTTTTTTTGGTGTGTTACGAAACATAAAACTAATTGAATGTAAAACGAAACCAAAAAGAGCAAATGAATAACAGCAAAATATCGCAGTTCGCATTATATATATACTAAATGTATAAAAAATAAATACATCATGAAAATTTAGTCAAACATCTAAAATTCAACCAGTGTTTTATTTAAAATTTATTGGTTATGGTTGTGGTTATCCTACCGAGTTGAAATTAATCAAAATGTAAACTTGCAAAGCATTTAAAGAGAAATTTGACAATTAAACTAAATGAATATTTTTTACAGCAGTATCTCGCAGTCGAGCTCATTTAGCTGCTGCATTCTTACTTGTTTCCGAAGTTGTTTCGAGTTGTCATTGACCAACAAAAAATGGTCTATTTCAATTGCATGCCGTTTTGTATCTGATATGCATGTTTGTTTTCGTTCAAACTGAAGCTAGAACAATTTCAGTCTTAAGTATTCAAATGTATATTAATAATGAGAACGTTTTTATGCAGCTCGGTCTATCTACACAACTATCTCTGAGCATGTTTAAGTACATGGTAAGGACTTTAGTGCAAGATGATCGCCATGGATTTGCTGATCATATTATATTGCAGTATAGGCCACAAACCTTTGTACTTATGCACATTTGTATTCTGAGTTAGGTGTTCGAGTACAAGTACAAATATAATTTTTAAAATATATTTATTTTAGCTTCGAATGTACTGAGCTGTTGGATGTGCTAGGATGTGTAATTACTTTACATGTATGCATGTGGGATTCCAAATCGAATTGATATGCAATCATATCATTTACATAGACAGCTCTTTCTTTTGAGATATACACATAATTTGAATGGGCTTACAGGTGCCATTTAAATGTTAAGTCTCCATGTGAGATACTTTTGTATATCAATCAGCGCAATATCAATTGACGCTTAATTGGCAAGCACAGATAAAAAGAGATTGGCGAAAATATCTATGAACATCATTAGCATTAATCTGAAAGCATACAAATTGGCATTCTCCGCTTCGTTTTGGCCTTGACAACTTTTATATTTTCATTTATTTTTTGCTTGCCTTATCAAACCATTTTCATTTAATTTATTTAAATAATTTTTCTACATTATTATGTTACATTTATGATATCGAAGGTTTTGTGCAATGTCCAAATATCCGGTAAAAACATTTGGATCACGTAAACAGCCGCCCAAAAGCGAGAAAAGCATATATCTCAGAATATTTAAGAAACTGACTTAATCTTTAAATAGCGTGTATCAAAAATAATTTACCAAACTGAATTAATGGAAAACATTGCGATACTTCAATAACAAATTTGGAAATGTGAACTGAATTTCGTATAATTGAATATAATTCAGCTGATCTTTTTATGAAGGTATATGGAACCCAAAATAACCAATATGTTAAAAACGGAAGTATATTTATGGGACAACAGAAGAGTTCAAAGTTATGAATATTTTTCAACAGGAGTAACGACAAAAAATGATAGAAAGAAAAAAAAACGCAAAAACCTCATCGAGGCAATAAATTCACTTAAATGTTCTTTGTTTGAGTCATTAAAATCGCATTTGGAACTCAGTTAACTGACTCGCCTGATAATGGCAATGATGATGTTGAGTTTGCTCATCATCTTGATGATGCTGTCGCAGTCGCTGTCGCAGTCGCAGTCGCTGCCACAGCTGACGTCGCTGTCGCGCTGACATTAACGTTGAATGTTATTCGTTGTCAACACACTTGACATATAATTTGATTACGCATACGCATTTTATTAACTCATTTTTAGCGTGTGAGCGGATAACGACGACAGCGCCATTCATGGCAGCCATCGCCGTCAGGCAACCATTGCGGTTTGCCCCGCCGAACGCCTGCTTTCTGTTTTCCTGCCGCCTTCCAACAGGCTGCGACCCCTTCGTGGCATGCTGCTCATTACATCTGGCTTGATGTGTATATGATATACTCTCTCACTTTCCCGATGAGGAAGCCGGTGGAGTCAGTGGCAAGCACTTCACATTAACTGTTACGGCTCTGCCGCGTGTGTATGTGTGTGTGTGTGTGTGCGGTTTTTGAGTAGCATGCCTAATACTCCCTGATCCTCCTGACCTGGCCAACAAGAAGCCCCAAAGACAGTGAAGGCTCGAGGCAGCCAACAACTAATTTCTTTTTACAACTGTGTAGCACTTCCTAAGCTTTATAGGAAAACGGTAAATACGCATATGACTGTGCGTATATATACACTTATACATGTACATATACATGTACATGTGTGTGTGTGTGTGGTGTTTAAATAGCAGCACAGCTGGCGCGCAGCATAGTCAAACCCAGGCAGAATCAAGTCAAACCAATATTCCAAAGAGCCACGAGAACACACGCATAGCAACAGCAACAGCAACAGCAACATCAACAGCAACAACAAGAATAGCTATGTTTGCTTAGCACAACAATTTCTTACACACACACACACACACACGCACACAGCGAGTGTTACAGCCGGGCCCAAAACTTATGCCTTGCCTGCCGCTGGAACCATTGAAAAGTCGTTAGCAAAACGTCAGACAACAACAAACAAGAGCAGCAACAGTATGAAGTACCCTTTATGGGACTCATTCTCGGTCTCGGTCTTGGTCTTGGTCTTGGTCTCGGTCTTGGTCTGTGCTTGGGTTTGGGTTCTTGGTACTGGTGGCTGAAACTGGGTCTAAGCTATGTTGGGTTTGGGTCGCTGTGCCTTCTGCTGTTGTTTTCTCCCCGTGCCCTCAAGCAAGTGCACAAGTTATTGATGGTCAAAACTATTTCAGTCGCTTAGTAAACCCAAACTGATTAACAATTACTTGAGAGGGCAGTGATACCAGATGGCCCTACGGCTGCTACTA